ACCCCAGCAGGCGCATCTGACGACCCTGTACCTGTCGTGAGGGAAGAACATTCATCGCCTCCACACACCCTTTTTCTCCCTTCTCCCACAGATCGTGTGTATCTAGACAGTTGTATTTCAGCGATCGGCTCATCACGCCATCGCCGTTGTCTCACATGAGGCATGCACCGCCCGGTCTTCCTCACATGTGCTAAGCAACTCTACAAACAACAAGTCTCCTACACCGCCTGGAGGGGAGGGGGAGTATTGTAGTGGATGTCTCCCCTACAAACTAACTGCGTAGCAGCCCACCACCTGCCATCACATTCCAATGTGCCGCCTTCCCTAGCAACCAACCAGATGTTACCGTATCTTAGCAACGAAACTATTCACCGGCTACTTCTCGGGTTTTCCCACCATGACTCATAGCGGCTGCTGCGGGGTATATAAGCTCTGTCTCTCCCTTGAGATTCAGTCAGACCATTCTTCTTGAACTAGCAACACCTCCTCCTCCGCCGCTGCCTGGCTGCCCCTCGCATCTCCTCGCCTGCCTGGCGGTCCTCGCTCCCGCCAGCGAGCATGTCCTTCTCTGAGCTTCCTCACCAACCAACTCTCATTCTGGCCCATCTTCCTGAACAAGCAACATCTCCAGCAAGCTCCACGCTGTTAACATTTCATTCAACCAGGAGGCCAGCAACAGGCAACATCTTCTCTAACGAAGCTCCTGCACATCTACCTCCTTCAACAAGCTACTCACCGAACGTCTTCTACCAAGCAGCCCCTCACCACACGGCACCTCCAGCACCAGACTGTCTATCATATAACTTATATATTATACAAGAAAACCACATTAGAGTTTCCTTCCATCCTGAGTGCTAGACAACATTAATATCTCGATACCCCTACAATCTATATATATATATATATATATATATATATATATATATATATATATATATATATATATATATATATATATATATATATATATATATATATAATATTAGGAAAACGAACTTTTTCAAAACTTTTGTGTTTTTAGGCTCTGATGATGGAAAACGATTATTTCCGAAACGTTAGCGATTAAAAGCAGCCCACATGGTCAAGATGTTGTGTTTACCCTGGTTCTCCTCTTTGATATATATATATATATATATATATATATATATATATATATATATATATATATATATATATATATATATATATATGTCATGGGTTGCCCTGGGCCTCCCACACAACCCATCCCTAATGTTTGTTTAGGTAGAGATAAGGTACCCTGCCAGCCGATAGGGGTCATCTCACGCCTCAAAACCACAATTTAGCCAGTAGGCTTTAGACCTTGGGTTATAGAAGACCTCCTGCTCCGCGGATTTAGAACAGGGGCCATACATTCCTGCCAGTGCTACGAGTCTGTGTGTGCAAATCCCCGAGATTGTTGTTAAGTCCAGTGACAAGTTAACACATCCTGTAAAGGAAATGATCAATGGTGAGGGCCTGTTTGCTACAAGAGCACTCCAGGTCGGCCTTATAGATCTAAACAATTAATTCTCCAGGTTGACAAACTCTCCCTTATAACTTACGGTACTGTGGCGTGAATGTGAGTGACTGACCTATCCATGCAAATTATAAGTCCAGTGTATGGAATTGTGCCAAATAAACGTAAGTACAATTATCTGCCCGTATCTGTGACCCCTCTATTATTATCATTATCAAAGGTAATGACTGATTGGTTATGACAAGTATAACCAATAACTTAGATGGATGTTGGAAGTTAATGGAATTCATTAAATCATCATTTATCAAGTACACAACGCATTGAATGCCGGAAGCAGAGTGAAATTCTACGCAGTGATACACCGTAATCTCCTGGGTGAGTAACCAGTGTGAAGGTATCTGAGTTCTACGGTAAGAAAACCACTTTCTTGCATTTATAACCTAACAATATATATATATATATATATATATATATATATATATATATATATATATATATATATATATATATATATATATATATATATATATATATATATATATATATAAAGCCAACTCTCCCCCTGACAATCTCTTTGGCACCTTATTCTCCTCTAATTCCACCTTAGACGATTCCCACTCTATCCATCCTACTCCTACTGAACCTATGCACTTTCCTATAATCTCCACTCGGAGGGTTGCTGGTGTGTTATCCAGGTTGGATGTGAGTAAGGCGCATGGACCGGACGAAATACCCCCTCGTGTCCTGAAGTTCTGGCCCCTGTGCTTGCTCGCCTCTTTCGCCTCTGACTCAAAAACCCAAACTTATCCTTCTTCTTGTAACTTTGGAAGCATGCCTTGGTTCAGCCCATCCCGAAGAAGGGTGACCATTCTAATCCCTCTAACTATCTCCCCATTGCCCGAACTTCATCCCTCTAAGATTTTCGAAACTATCTTGAACTCCCATTTTCTCTGTCACCTTGAACGCCATTCTCTTTTGTCGGATCACCAGTGTGGCTTTCGCCAGGCGAGATCTACTGGTGATCTGCTCTCCTATTGCACCCATCTTTGGTCATCCTCTCTTATGGATTATGGGGAAACTTTCGTCGTGGCCATCGACATCTCCAAAGCATTTGACAGAGTCAGGCTCAAGTCTTTGCTTTCTAAACTTCCCTCGTATGGTTTCTCTCCCCCACTTTGTTTTCTAATCTCCAGCTTCCTTAAGAACCGATCCATGGCAGATGTTGTCGAGGAATCGATCTCTCGCTCTTTCTCTACCAATAGTGGTGTCCCACAGGGTTCTGTTCTTTCACCTACTCTCTTCCATCTTTTTATCAATGATTTACTTCACACTACAACTAATTCTATCCATTCTTACGCTGATGATTCTACTCTTCGCTCACCTTCACATTTTGCCATTCCTCCTAACTTTTAAACTAGATCTGTTTCTAGAGCTGATATCATTACATCTATCAATGCGGATCTGAGCAGCATCTCTGAATGGGGGGGTACAATCTTGGTTAAACTAAATAGTAATAAAACTCAGTATTCATCAATTACACTTTCTAAATTAGATGATCTCCCACCAATTACATTTCAGGACGCTATCATTCTTCCAAATTCTGAAATAAATATGCTAGGCCTCACCATTTCCTCCAATATGTCCTGGAAATCACACATCCTTAACATAGCTAAAGCTGCCTCCCGAAAGTTGGGAATGCTGTACAGATGTCGTAGCTACTTCACTCCTGAGCAGTTGCTTCAAGTATATAAGGGATTCATTCGTCCTAACTTGGAGTACTGCTCTCATATCTGGGTGGCTCTTCTTCTGTCCAACTGTTAGATAGGGTGGAATCAAAGACAATTCGTCTTATTAACTCTCCTCCTTTAGTCGACAATCTCTCTTCCCTTTCTCTTCGCCGCAATGTTGCTTCACTCTCTCTCTCTTTTACAGGTACTTTAACGGGCAATGTTCGGTGGATTTGGCATCCTGTGTACCGCCGGCAAGGCCGTGGGCTCGTAACACACGTCTTGCCCGCGGTGCCCACCGTTTCTCTGTGGATGTCGATCACACTAGAATAACCCTTTATAGTACATCCTTCTTTCCTCACACAGCCAAACTGTGAAATGCTCTGCCTTCTTCTGTGCTTCCATACTTATATAATCTGTCTCACTTTAAAAGGCTGGTTTTCCGGCATCTTCGTGGTGTAGATTAACACAGTATAACCCTTTTCTTCCTTTTTTTTAAATTTCTTTCTGTTCATATTTTTTCGCCCCCCTCCGACCCCGTTGTGGGTCGTTCGACCTGTGCCCGGGTGGGCTAATTCCCGTAAAAAAAAAAAAAAAAAAAAAAAAAAAAAAAAAAAAAAAAATATATATATATATATATATATATATATATATATATATATATATATATATATATATATATATATATATATATATATATATATATATATATATATATATATATATATATATATATATATATATATATATATATGCAAGTAAATCACTGTAGGTAAAAGCGCTGCGGATCCAGGTATATGCTGATAACTACAAGGAAAAAAGAGAAAACAATGAAGTTCCTGCAAGCTGTGTGTAAATCACATTCTAGGTGAAAGTACAGACTATAGAATATATAATATATATATATATATATATATATATATATATATATATATATATATATATATATATATATATATATATATATATATATATATATATATATATTTATTAATAGCCCAAGAGCACGCGGACTTCTACATACAATCAACACCTCAACCCGCCAGGATTCGAACCCACGGCCCACTAGCCCATGACTGACCGGGGAACGCTAACCGCTGGACCACCAGGATACTAAAAGCAGTCCTAGACTTTGTTATATTTCACACAAAGCCTGTTCAACGAGCTTATGGCGCCGTGAACCTCTAATGGGGACTACCCGTATCACGTAGGTGGTCAGAGTAACGTTTTACCAAATCCAGCTTCGAAACACGAGGATCCATATATATTTCATTAGCCCAATAGCACGCGGACTTCTACATACAATCAACACCTCAACCCGCCAGGTTGATTGGGACATGGAGCTCGTTAACCTAGGGTGTGGTTGTTGTGTTGGCGACAGCTTCTACACCTTAAACAAATTCACGTCTCGGTGGCCCTGGGCCGGCCATCCTCGTATGTGGGCCGCTCTCAACCAAATCTATTTTCGGACAGCCGATCATACAGGCCCATAAATTTAAAACCTGGAGTGTGACTTTTTTTTTTTAATTCGTACATGACTCGCAAAAAGAATCAGTGAAATGTGACCATAGCTGAGGAACCCTAACATTTATGACATCACCCGTATAAAGTAAACAAAAAATAATAGAGGTGATCCTACACAGGTCCCTGCCCTACTACCCTTGGCATGGCCACCTCTAGTTCGGGTGGCCATCAAGTAAATTAAGTTGAATAAACACTGATATGTACCAGTGGTCATGGTTCTTTTTTTATATATATAAATTAGTATAAACCAAAGCTTTTCCAACTCACTCGGGCCAAAAGCAACAAAGGGTGGGAGGGACGGTAGGTGAGGATCCTTGGGCTCCATGCCACCAGGAGGGACACCGTCAGTGCCAACCCCAGTATTGAAAGGCGGGTTATAAGGGGTGGGGTCGTCTCTTTGTACACCAACGCGTTGCACCATGGATCGTACACGCAATTCCAAGACGGCAGACGATGCATCTGGGTTGGGGGGAGGGCGATCTGCTGTTAGTTTGATGTAGAAGGTGAAATACTAAGTGTTCAATATATATATATATATATATATATATATATATATATATATATATATATATATATATATATATATATATATATATATATATATATATATATATATATATATATATATATATATATATATATAGTGGAACACAATTTAGTCTAATATACCGGCATGTAAGCTAGGATCACGTGGTGTGAGTCAAATGTATGGGAAAATGCACATGATTTATATCTCCAACTAACCATCCCTGAATGAGAGGGGTAGTTCTATACACCACCTTAAAATATTTCACAATATTTCATTTAATGAGTGTACAGTACTACTTGGTACCTACCATAGTCTGGGTGAGGGATGGCACCATACACCACTTATCGTTCCTGAGGGAGACACGACACATGTACTCAGACCTGAACATGATAACTAGCCACCCCCTAGTCAAGGTCTCCGTAGCCTCCTGCAACAAACACACCGCCCACAGCTTGTATACCCACACCCGTACCAACGCCTTCAGCTGGCGAAAGAAACATAAAAATAAAGTAATATATATTGAGAAATCTTACTCATAATATTTACAGTTAAAGGAAGATTTGGAATGATAAACTATATTTAAAAATACTGCATATTAATTATTTGTAACGTAAGAAATAATTGTATAAACAAAATTTAGTTAGAATATTTAGCGTAAAATTTACGAATAAAGGAAGATTTGACGCTTGAGTTAAAGTTGGTAAATATTTAGCTTTTTTAAAATGAGAAAAAATATTGGAAATAATATTACATTTACTTAAAAGGAAATTTCATAAAACAAAATATAATGAAAACCTAGTAAAGTGTGTTATAGGAATATTTGGTGCAGGGCATTAAAAATGTGTGGAATATTTAAGTATTTTACCATACTAAAATAATATGGAAAAGCTTGGCTGTTAAAGGGAGAATTGGCATTGGAAATGCATGTTAAAAATATATTTGGAAGATTTTGCGTAAGTTGTATTCTCAAACAAAATATAGGAAGTATGTTTTTACAAGTTTTTAGAGTATGTGGGAGATCTGGAGATCGAAGAAAATATGTATAGAGAATTAGTATTTTCATGATGTGACATATTAAGGACTATGAAGAATCATGGGGGTGTGGGATTTGTGGTATTATGTGTTGTCTAGCACTCAGGATGGATGGAAACTCAAAGGTGGTTTTCTTGTATAATATAAGTTATATGACAGACAGTCTGGTGCTGGAGGTGCCGTGTGGTGAGGAGCTGCTCAGTAGAGACGTTCGGTGAGTAGCGTGTTGAAGGAGGTAGATGTGCAGGAGCTTCGTTAGATTAGATGTTGCCTGTTGCTGGCCTCCTGGTTGAATGAATGCTGGACAGCGAAGAGCTTGCTGGAGTAGGTGTTGCGTGTTCAAGAAGAATGGCCAGAATGAATCTCAATGGAGAGACAGAGCTTATATACCCAGCAGCCGTGAGTCACCTATGAGTCATGTTGGGAAAACCCGAGAAAGTCGCCGGTCTTTGGTTCCGTTGCTAGGTTACGGTAGCATCTGGTGACGCCCCCCGCTTGGTTGCTAGGGAAGATGGTAGCAGCTGGTGGCTGCGGCTACGCAGTTGTAGGCAGTTGTAGGGGAGAAGTCCACTACAGGGGACTATTTGATAGTGTGTAGGATCAACACTAATAGTTTTCAGGAAGATTAAAAAAAAATTCGGGGAGTATATATTTCTTTGGTAAGCATAATGTGTTGTCTAATGGTAGACCTTGCTGCCATATGGCACCACAAAAATTGTGACCAAGTCCCAGGTTGCTGATCTCTTACTTTGACAACACAACATACAGTACATATATCATTTCTCACTATTGATATTTTTTTACGGCTCTTAATTATTTATTATTATTATTATTATTATTATTATTATTATTATTATTATTATTATTATTATTATTATTATTATTATTATTATTGTTATTATTATTATTATTATTATTATTATTATTTATATTAGTTTTATCAAGTTTAATAATAATAATAATAATAATAACATTATTATTATTATTATTATTTATATTAAGTTTTATCAAGTTTAATAATAATAATAATAATAATAATAATATTATTATTATTAATATTATATATATTAAGTTTTATCAAGTTTAATAATAATAATAATAATAATAATAATAATAATAATAATAATAATAATAATAATAATAATGTAGTGGACGTCTCCCCTACAACTGCGTAGCTGCAGGCCACCTGCGACGTCTTCCCTAGCAACCAAACTAGCGGCCCAGAGGGGGCGTCACCAGATGCCGCAGTATCCTAGCAACGGAGCCAAAGACCGGCGACTTTCTCTGGTTTTCCCACCATGACTCATAGATGACTCATGGCTGCTGGGTATATAAGCTCTGTCTCTCCATTGAGATTCATTCTGCAATCGGTTCCTCAACATGCAACACCTCCTCCAGCAAGCTCCTCGCTGTCCAGCTTTCAATCAACCAGGAGGCCAGCAACAGGCAACATCTTCTCTAACGAAGCTCCTGCACATCTACCTCCTTCAACACGCTACTCACCGAACGTGTCTACTGAGCAGCTCCTCACCACACGGCACCTCCAGCACCAGACTGTCTATCATATAACTTATATTATACAAGAAAACCACCTTAGAGTTTCTATCCATCCTGAGTGCTAGACAACATTATATCATGAAACCCTACAAATGGTGACTCCCGGAGATAAGCACTCACACAGGATGGAGGACGGACGGATCTCTCTGCCGACTTTCAACCACAACGTCGAGGACCGGCTAGACCATGTGGAAGCAGGCCTCGCCGGCTCACAAGCGACTGACGAGCAAAAGTATGGCGCCCTGCTCTGTGCCTTGCCCACGGAAGTGGCCACGCGGGTCTCACAAACCATTTCCAACCCTCCAGATGACAACAAATTTGCTACCCTGCGGATGCCTTGAAGACGTGTTATCAACAGACCAGCCCCAATCTCCTGCAAGATCTTTCCTCTATCTCTATCGGGAACTCAACCCCGGGACGTCTCTGGGAGGAGATGTGTCAGCTGAACTCCCGTCACACAGACAGACTCCCCGACTCTATCCTGCGCCAGCTTCACGCACAAAAGCTACCCACAGAAGTACGCAACATCCTGTCCGCAGTAGATTACTCTACGACACCAGAACTATATGCAACCGAGGCAGATAGAATTTTCAAAGAGTGCGCTGCTACGCCCCTTGCCGCCACGGTCACACCAGTACCTACCATCGAACTTGTAAGCCGGGTCAACACCCCTCAGCCGAGCAATACCTCACAAGACATCAAGGACCTGTTGCAAACTTTGAACCGCAGGATGGACACCATTGAGCAGTTCTGCTCCTCCATACCCGATGCTGCACCAGTTCCTCATACACACTAGGGTGTGTCAATTTTGTCAACATGTTAAACATCAAATTTGGTAGTCAAAATATTGTGCCTCTTTATGTCTAAACTTGAGATTAGCAAACAAAAATGAATTGAAATAACCCTCACCTACATCAATTATACCTTAAAGTTTCAAATATCAGTATTTCAACAAATTAATGAGACTTGATTAGAATTATTCACTTGATATTAACTAATCTCATGTAAGCATATGGATTATGGAGTATTTTATGGTTCTATAGCTTGTGTACAATATGCATGTCAGAACATGAACATGAACAGGCTCTCCGTGTGGGACAGTTTAATTATTGTTTTGACTTGTACCAAGCGTGAGGATAAGGCGCCCGGCTCACTCTCCTTCTAGATATCATAGACGGTGGTTTGCTCTCATTGCACTTGCACCTACTCTACCAGACGAATTCTACATTTTAATTATTGTAAGTAGGGCATATTGATTGTCGCAGTTACTTATATCATTGTATAAAACATTATGTTCTAAGAAATTATTATGTTATTTCTGTTACAGCATTTTTGATAAACAAATTGATATTTTTTGAAACAACAATTGAATTATGAAACATTGAAATATTTTTCTATTTGTCAGATAGTGTGAAGATGTCAAAATTGAAGACAAGAAGTCAGTTGTCAACCCACTTGAGCCTGCTAGTTGGTAAAGGGAAGGAGCTTCCTGTATCAGAACTTCCAACAGTGAGAGACATGCTAAGATTAGGGTTACTCCTTCGAGAAAAAAATGCAAAGGACAGAAGGAACTATACAGATAAAGAACTCATAAATGACATGATAGTCCCTCTTCTGCATCAATGGACAAAAGCTAATGCACTATTCAAACCACCTGTGATTAATCAGTGTCGAACTATTGAGCTAAAACTAACGAAATTATGGCACAAAGCAGTTGAAACATCACTTGGTAAAGGAAACTTGGCCAGGAAAAATGAATTTCTGCACACACTTGATACTCTGTTTGACATTTTGACCTGCAAGTGCTCCATACAATTATGTTCTGAATCCAACTGTTCTCACTCAGGTAAGAGAGAAAATAATTCCCACATTGATTGTGGTTGTCCTCGTGAAAAGAAGATCCCTGTTTTAGAGCTTGAATTTATAAAGGCACAGAGGACAAAGGCAGAAGGCCAAGGAAGTATGCAAATGGGTTCAATAGATTATTCAGAAACAAAGAAGCAGATTGCTAATGCCAAGAAGAGAGAACAAATCCGAGAGAGGGAACAAAAGAAGAAAATGAAGAGTGAAGAAGCCATCCAAAGAGAGGAAGAGCTGTGTCAAGATGTTTATCACTTCTTTGATAGTTCTTCTGATGAACAGGAAGCAACATCAGATGATAGTTCCAAAGAGCCATCTGAACCTTTACCAAAGAAAATGAAATACAACACAAGAAATATTTCAAACATTGCTTTAGCTAGTATTCGCCACCATGCTGGACTTCGTGAGGCTGCAGAAATTGCAACTGCCGCTTGGATAGATGCAGGCCTCATCAGCCGAGAGGATGTATCTTTGGTGATAGATCATAATAAAATTAGAAGAGCACAAGAAAAAATAATGAAGGAAATATCTGATCAGCATGAAAAAGATTTAAGCGAGGGAGGGCTCTCCTGTCTTTTGTTTGATGGAAGAATAGATGACACAAAAGTTTTGCTAGAAGTAGAGGGAGTGAACAGAAAGTTTCCAGGTCTCATCAAAGAAGAACACTACTCTGTCTGTTCTGAGCCTGGTGGTCGGTTTTTGTTTCACTTTGCTCCCGAAACTGAAGTAGAAGGGAAGAAACATGCAGAGGTCATTGCTGATCATATTTTATGTTGGGTTCAGGAGAGAGGACTTGGCAGTTCACTGCAGGCTGTTGGTGGAGATTCAACTGCAGTGAACACCGGATGGCAGGGGGGTGTAATGACGCATTTAGAGAAAAAACTAGGAAGAAGACTTGTTTGGATTGTATGTGATTTACATACAGGCGAGCTACCTCTTCGTCATCTCATCCAGGAACTTGATGGTCCTACAAAGAGCAACAACAAGTGGTCAGGTCCCCTTGGCATCATGCTGGATGAAGCAACACAACTAGAA